TCCCTGGGACAGCGACTCTTCCAGCCAGGGACACCAGGAGACTGCGGGTGTCTGGTCCTGTCATCTGTGTCCGCCTCCTCTCCCCTCCCTCCTCCCGTCCTCCCTCCTCCAACTAAACCCCTCACAAGTGGCTGCTCTGGGGGATCTGTGCTGTCCCTTTTCAGATCAACACTCACATTACCAACCATGCTCGTATCCTTGTAGCCACACCAGGAGGCGTTGGAAGGCACATCCCCACTCCCCTGCAGCTGTGCCCCCACCAAGGGGTCAGTCATCACTTTAGTACTGAAACTAGATTTCCCTTCCAGCAAGACAGGGACAGGAAATTAACGAAGCCAGAGCACTGGCCCTCTGGCACCAATGGGAGGTCCCCAGGGGACAGCTTATCTCTCTGGCAGGAAGGAGAGGGGTTTTCTCTTCTGCAAAGCAGCTGCAGATACATTTACTGAGGGCTTTCTGAAATGTGTTCTATGCCTGTGCTTTGCCAACGCATTAAATGGGAAATCCAGTGATCATAACTTTGAAGTGATGTGTGTGCGTTGAAAGACAACTGCAATTGATAAGCTCAGTCACAGGGGTTGTGTATGAGGTGTGTGAGGTCACATGCCATTTCTGAAGGAGACATGGCATTTCCAGTAGAGCACAATAAAATAGAGGTCATTTCCCCCCCATCCCAGCTCATGGGTTCCCTGAATTTTGTCCATGGACCCCAGGTTAACAACTTGTACTTGCTGGGCGAGGTGGCTTACGCCGGTATTCTCAGCTATTTGGGAGACAGAGGAGAGAGGATTGCCTGAGCCCAGGAGTTTGAGACCAGCCTGGGCAATTTGGCAATACCTCGTCTCTACAATAAATAAAAATATTAGCCGGGTGTGGTGGTGCACACCTGTGGTTCCAGCTACTTGGAAGTCTAAGGCGGAAAGATCCCCTGAGCCCACCAGGTCAAGGCCATGAGTGTGCCACTGCACTTCAGCCTGGGCGACAGAGTGAGACTCCAATTCAAAAAAATCCAAACCAAATAAAATAAAAAGTTTCGGACCAGTCGGGCTCAGTGGCTCAGCCTGTAATCCCGCGCTTTGGGAGGCTGAGGTGAGTGGATTGCCTAAGCCCGCAGGTTCGAGACCCACCTGGGCAACTTGGTGAGATCTCATCTCTACAATAAATCAAAAAATTAGCCAGGCATAGTAGCGCGTGCCTGTAGTTCCAGCTACTTGGAAGGCTGAGGCGGAAGGATCGCCGGAGCCCAGTAGGTTGAGGCTGCGATGACCGGGAGTGGCCACGGCACTCCAGTCTGGGCGACAGAGTGAGACTCCAACTCAAAAAAAAAAGAACAAAATTTCGAACCTTCCCATTTTGTGTCAATTCTCCCTCATTCTTTAAGACTTTTAGCTCAGCTGTCGCCTCCTCCAGGAAGACTTCCCTGAAGCACACACCCACTACCTCATCTCTGGGCAGGTGCCTACACCCAGTGACCCGCATACGTCCCCATCCATACAGACGTCACAACGAACTGCCACCATCTGCTTCTGCCTCCCACATGTCAGCTCCCTCCTGAGTTGGACACCTGGTCTCTTCTTTATGCTCCCAGTACCCAGGAAACCAAGTGAGGACAAGGCCTTGGCAAACATTTGCTGAGTGCATGGATGACTGAGTATCTCCCCTGAGCCCCTGCACACTCAGAGACACCTGGAACGGAGCCTGGGCAGGAGAGACCAGCCGATCGGCCTGGGGTTGGGAATGGGGGGAGTGGCCCCAAGTACCACACCCGGACACGCCAATCCTGCAGAAGCTTTATTTGTTGGATGCAGGTTCAGCATCTTGACTCAACTGCCCCCACCGCCCCCCTGATGGCCGCAGCTCAGTGTCCTGCATCCCAGCCTGGGGACGTAGGAGCATCTATTCACATTCATCATCTGGTAGAAAACCCCATCTAAAGCCAAAGTTCTTGAAGCCTAAGAGATCATAATGGCCATAGATGCCGGTGAGACTCTGTCCCTTTTCCTTGGGGTAGATGGTGAAAGGCGTGCCACTTTCCTTCCCAAAGCAGAAAGAGCGTTCCTCGCTGGTGTGCACACACAGCTGCCTCATGTACAGTTTGAACGAGCCGTTGAGCTTTTTGATCATTTCGCCCGGCCACAGCTCAAATTCCTGGATGTGCCCACCTGAAACGCCAGCTTTTTCTTGCCAGGAGTCTCCCACCTTCACCTGGATACTAGGAGAGAGGCGGAGCTTTGAATGCCAGGATTGGGGCTGCGTGAGCGCTTGTGGACCTCGGTGCCCCCGCTCAGACACAGGAGGGCAGCCCAGTCGGAGTTTGGGTACCTGAGACAGACTTGCTGGCCTCAGCCCTTGCTCTGTCCCATTTGGGCTCTGACTCTTGAGCTTGTTACCCAGCCTCTCCGTGACTCAGCCTCCTCGTCTGCAAAGCAGGTGTGATAGTTGGGAGGAGTCCCGGAGGTGGTGGTAAGGGGAGCTCTGCACAGTGCAGGGTCGTCAGGACCCCGGGAGGTGACACCTGCTGCCATGGTGGTTCAGAGTCACAGCTGTACCCGCCAAACTGGGACGTTCTGAGGCGGGTCTCTCTGAACAGAGCAGCTTTCGGGCCTGAGAGACAGGCGATTCCCATGGTAACAAGCCCGCCCAGCTGGGCGTATCTGAGCCCTCCTCCAGCTCACCCTGCCCACGCGCCGTCTCCTTTGTTGTGGAGCAAGCTTCCACCCCAGGCCTCGAGCAGGGACACCCCAATATTAGGGAAACGACCCTGGGCTTTCTGCCTCTAGCCCTTCTGGTGACTCATGCTCAGTCAGTGGTCCACTCTGACCCTACATCCTGTCTTCTTTGACCCAAACGGGACAGACCTTCCCCTGACTTTCTCATCTGGCATCAAGACGAGAGGCAGTTTGGGGTTGAGTTGAGTTTGGGTTGAAAGGAGAAGTTAGGGAGAATGGCCACTGGACTCTCTTAATCAACTCAGGAAGCAAAGGCAGGCCTTGCAGGTGGAGTCAGAAGAAAGTGGTGCTGGTGAGGGGAGCAGAGGTGGCTGAGGAGAGAGATATGTGGACAGGTGGTGGCTGGTGACTCCATGACCCAAAGAACCAGCTGGTCTCAAAGAGTCCTCAGGACCCAGACAAGACAGTGGGAGAAGCATCTATAGGTCCCCCCACCTTCAAGTTCCCAAAACTGTGGGGTGAGTCAGGGCACTGCATTTGTGCCCACAGTCATGACCTACTCACCTTATTATTTTGCCAATAATATCTGTGGCCACGCGAATCCCGGTGACTAAATCACAGCAGCTCTCAGGGGTGCTGAAATACTTGTGTCCTCCTTGATGCCCGACCATATCTGGAGGGAGGGAAGAGCCTGGGGAAGAAAACCTTCACAGTGACATGGAGGCAACCTCTGCCAGGACAGGGGACATTGCCCTCCAGGCAGACAGAATGGTCCTGTGGCCAGAGTTAGTCAGACAAGGGCCAAGGAGGGTCCCTGGCTCTTCGGGAAGGGAAAGAGGAGGATCTGCCCCTTCTGCCCATCCCCCACCAGGTTTACCATCTGCCCAGGAGATGGGGCTCCCCAGTAGGGCGAGAGTCAGCAGCAGCAGCATGGCCTCTGGCTGACGTGTCCAAGGCTCTGGGGGAAGAGGAGAGGCCTCCTGACTCCCAGTAAGGGCCCAGCTCGGGCAGGGATACCCCAATACTAGGGGAATGTCCCTGAACTTTTTGCCTCTAACACTTCTGGAGCCCTTTACCCGCCCAGGAGTGTCTGCACTGGGTCGTCTGGCCGTGCTGGGCACCCTCCGCCTGCCCTTTATACCCTCCCGGCCCCACGGGCCTCCATCCAGAAGGAAGGAGTGAGGGCCCACCAGGGGACAGGAAGGAGCTAGGCTGTGGGGCTCTTCCTGGGCGAAGGCCCAGAGCTGTCCTGGGGGAGGCTCCCGGACATTCAGTGTTTGCTGACTTGGCCCTGCCACCTACACAAACAGGGCCAAGGACGGCAACAAGCAATTCACAGTTACTTCTGGGTTCTCTCTCGTCAGCACCCGAACCGACCTGGACTGCAGGGGTGGGGAAAGGTTGGCTTGGAGCCTTCTCCAGCTTAGCCTGACAGTTTCTCCCCATGGGCCCGGCAGGCCGGGGCCCACAGAAGCTGGAATCAGGACATCCTTCAGGCCCAGGAGCACCTGGTGTCTGGCAGGCTTTCCAGGACCCAAGCCGAGCTCCCCTGACCCTCGGAGAGCCAGAGTGGACAGTCTAGGCCCTGTCCCCTGTGCCAGGTACAAGTGCTCCCCAGACACTGATCCTCTGTGTCCTGTCCCTTGGAAGCTGTCCCTGGTCTCCCCTCTGTGCAAGGCTGGGCTTAGCGGGGAATGGGCCAGTGTTCAGGGGCCCACAGACCTCTCTGTGCTCTGATGGTCTCATCATCTGCTTATGGAGTTGCTGTGAGGATCCAACCTCTATCCAAGGACCAGTCACTCTGCGTCTCAGACTTGGTGCCATGAGGCAGGTGCACAGTGATTCTTTGGAAAGAGCAAATGGTAAGAAATACCAGACATGTCCAACCAGCAATGACTGGACACATCCGTGGTGGTGTCCTGGCTGTGACATGCTGTGGCCGGTGCACACGGATGCTCTCATGCTGACTCAGCACCCCGGGGACTCAGGCTCAGAATAGACCCAGGTATCTAGGAAACCCCCATGTGCCTCCAAGGACAAGGGGCTGCAGAGAATGGTTTTGCATGTGCCAAGGATTTGGGAGGTGCTGGCTCACAAGGAACTGGGGATGCTAGTGTCAGCTGCATGCTGAGGGAGAAGCCATGGGACCAGGCAGGATTTTCATGGCCTACACTAGGGCTGGATAAGTTATGATCCAGCAGGCCAAGCCCACCTGTGATCGACAGTCTGTGAGCTGAGAACACTTTTGACATGTTCGAATAGTTAGAAAAAATTCAAAAGAAGAACCACATCTTTTTTTTTTTTGAGTTGGAGTCTCACTCTGTCACCCAGACTGAAGTGCAGTGGCAGCTCCTGGCCACTGCAGCCTCGACCTGCTGGGCTCCGGCTATCCTTCTGCCTCAGCCTTCCAGGTAGCTGGAACTACAGGGAAGAACCATATCTTATGACATGTGAACATTCTTGGACACTTCTGTGGCTGTGTTCACAGATAAAGGGCTACTGGTTCACAGCCATGTCCATTCACCTGTGCTGTCTGCGTCTGTCTTCACACTACAACGGCCACATTGCGTGGTTGTGACATAGACCTGTGCCTCACAAAACTAGCATTGTACTATCTGGGCCCTTACACAAAAGCCCGCCCACTCCCCATGGGTACCTGTTCCCAAAGAAAACTGAGCCCTATCCATGGTGCTGGCTGAGCAGAGTTGGGGAAGGGGACTCAGTTTAACCATCGACCTGATGGAGGCCTAGAGAGACATGACACCTGGCCCTTTGTTTTGGCCCCTGCACTGTCTTCTGGAGAGGTTGGTCAGGGCACTGTGCCACTGACTGATGTAGCCTCTGGGAGGCCACACCTCACTCATGTTCCCCCCCAGGATCCTTCTGTCATGCAGATGCAGCAGGGGCTGGGCTGGAGAAGGGGCAGAAGAGCCCCTCTCCAGTTCTCAGGAGGAGTACCCTTCAGGGAGGTGGAGACGGAAGAGGGCAAGCCCTTGGCAGGCACAGCTCTTGGAGGCCAAACTTGGAAGCTGACAAAAGGGCTTGTGTTCTCATCCTGGCCTGGCCCGAGGGCACTTTTCCATGTCCGGCTGTCAGTTCAGCATCTTCTTTCTAACTGCAAGTTGGCGGTGTTTGGCGCCCAGAAGGAGGGTCTATCTGGGTTGGGACTTTGAAAGCACCAGTGAGTGTTGGGGGGAATTGGAGAAAGAAACAGTCACCAGCGTGGCTGGGGGAGATGCTGGGACTTGCCCAAATGTACATCTGAGATTCATCTTCAAGGGCATGTGCATGTTGTCACAGAAGCACATTTACACACGTACTCTTAAGGACACACACAGGTGAATGTACCCCACATGCGGCCCAGCCCCTCCTGCACACAGACACACACACATGCACACATGCACACATTCCTACACACCTGTGCCACAGGCTTGGTGGGTAGCCCACCTGGTGGGCGCCCCTGATCCCACCGAATCTCTACCCTCCCTCCATCCACCCTGCCCGAGTGCTGGCCCTGAGCCCACAGTCAGGGAGACTCAACACAGGCCCTTTGTCCCCCGGGATCAGGGCTCCCCAAGAGGGGGATTTGCTGAGCATTTATTTCCTTCTCTGGGCACGCCCCAGTCCTCACTGTGCCAGGAGCTGGAACAATGAGGCCTTCTCCTGCTGGCAGAGGTGGACTCTGGGCTGGCTAGCCATGTGTGTCAAGGCCGCATGCCCCTGAGTCTCCCTGCCCTATGGGTATGAGGCCTGGGAGGACCCCTCTGTGCTTCTGTGGCCTGAAGCCCGGCAGACAAGAGGGCCTCCGTGTGTAGCCCCCTCAGCCAGCCAGGGCTCCCTGCAGCCTGGGCTCCAGGCTGCCCCTCTGTGGGAAGTCCCCAGCTTAGGTCTTGGGACAGGCCTGGCCTGGCTGAGACTCTGGGGCAAGCACGGTGCTGACTCTTCCACATGACCCTCTCCCTGGGGCTGTGGGGACCTGAGGGAAGATCCCACTGGATGGGGGTGGGGAGCAAGCCAGAAGCAAAGGGCACTTCTGTCCTTGACCCGAGCAGACCCTGGGGCTGGCATCTGCACATGGACTTGCCCTTGAGCAGCTGCTGCCAGGGAAGCAGGAAGGAGGAAGGAGGCCTCCACGGGGAAGGCATGTGGACGTCGCATTCCTGAAGGGCCCAGTTCCCCCATCACCTCCACTCACTCACTCAAATTTGTATCGGGTGCCATGCTCTGTGCTAAGCTTTTTATCTATACTTTTCTACAGAGACTCTCAATGCTTCTATTAGAAAAGCAGGACGTTAACCACACATTTTGCCTAATCTTTTTTTTTTTGAGTCAGGGTCTCACAGTGTTGCCCAGGCTGGAGTGACAATTATGGCTTATGGCAGCCTTGACCTCCTGGGCTCAGGTAATCCTTCCACCTCAGCATCCCGAGTAGCTGGGATGACAGGCATTCAACACCATGCTTGGCTAATTTAAAGAACTGTTTTAGCCAGGCACAATAGCACACGCCTGTAGTTCCAGCTACTTGGAAGGCTGAGGTGGGAGGATTGCCGGAGCCCAGCAGGTCGACGCTGGGGTGGCTGTGAGAGTGCCACTGTACTCCAGCCTGGACAACAGAGCGAGACTCCAACTCAAAAAGAAAAAGAAAGAAATATTTTTGGCCAGGCTCAGTGGCTGAGCCTGTAATCCCAGCACTTTGGGAGGCCGAGGCGAGTGGATTGCCTGAGCTCGTGGGTTCAAGACCAGCCTGAGCAAATTGGTGAGACATCGTCTCTACAATAAATTAAAAAATTAGCCAGGCGTGGTAGCGTGTACGTGTAGTTCTGACTACTTGGAAGGTTGAGGCAGAAGGATCACCAGAGCCCAGCAGGTCGATGCTGGGGTGGCCGTGAGCGTGCCATGGCACTCCAGCCTGGGCGACAGGGTGAGACTCCAACTCAAAAAAAAAATTGATTTTTTGTAGAAGCGAGGTCTTACTATGTTACCCAGGCTGGTTACAAACTCCTGGTCTCAAGTGATCCTCCTGTCTTGGCCTGAAAAAGCTCTGGAATTACAACATGAGCCACCATGCCTGGTGTATCCAAGTTTCAAATTGAAGGAGGTGGGCTTCTGGTTTTCTGAAGATGTTCTTGTATATGTGTTTCTTATTTAGTATATTAGTCTTCTCAGGCTACTATAACAAAAATACTACACCCTGCGGTCTATTAAACAACAGGCATTTTTGGCTCAGGCCCATAATCCCAGAGCCTTGAGAGTCTAAGGTGAGAGGATCTCTTGAGGCCAAGAGTTTGAGATCAGCGTAGGCACCAGAGCAGGACCTTGTCTCCATAACAAATAAACAAACAATGGATGTTTGTTTCTCACAACTCTGGAGGCTGGAAGTCCAGGATGAATGCACCCACAGACTTGGTTCTTGGTGAGGGCTCACTTCTTGGCTTGCAGACAGCCACCTTCTTGCTCTGATCTAACTACCCTTCTTTTTTTTTTTTTTGAACTGGAGTCTCACTCTGTTACCCAGGTTGGAGTATAGTGGCATGTTCATGGCCACCTCTGCTTTCTAAGTAGCTGGAACCACAGATGCATACCACCATGCCTGGCTAATTTTTTGATTTATTGTCGAGACGAGGTCTCATTACCAAGTTGCCCAGGCTAGTCTTGAACCCCTGGACTCAGGCAATCCGCTTGCCTCTGCCTCCCAAAGTGCTGGGATTACAGGCATGAGCCACCGTGCCCGGCTCCTCCTTTTTTTTTTGAGTTGGAGTTTCACTCTGTCGCCCAGGCTGGAGTGTGGTGGCACACTCACAGCCACCCCAGTGTCGACCCTGCTGGGTTCTGGCGATCCTTCCACTTCAGTCTTACAAGTAGCCAGAACTACAGGTGTGGACTACCTCGCCTACCTAATTTATTTATTTATTTTATTGTAGACTTGAGGTCTTGCCAAATTGCCCAGGATGGTCTCGAATCTACAGGCTCAGGCAATCTATTTGCCTTGGCCTCCCAAAATGCTGGGATTGTAGGCTGAGCCACTGAGCCCAGCCCCCTCCTCTTCTTCTTCTTTTTTTTTTTTTTTTGATTTGGAGTCTCA